CTGACCTATATTTTTGCTTTCATGACCTGAACCATGTCTATAGAGTAGAGGCCAGGAGGTATGGTTTTCACGTGTGCCCAGGTCGCATCAGAAATAGTGCGGAGGCCTGGCGTCCTCCTTCTGCAAAAGTTGGGACTGTGTCACCTCTAATGATGGGGAATGGAGATGGGCTGTAAGCAGACCAGACTTAGTCACTTTTAAATATGTAAGACCAATCTGCTATGGCCCCCCTCTTCCTCAGCCTAACAAGCTATGCAGGATAGGTAACTTGATAAAAATTACTTTCACTGATCGGGGAAAATGGGACACATGATGGTCATCAGGCCTATGCTGGAGTGTAATATACTATAGATACTGGGGACATGTCCCATCCACCCTTGTAATTCGTCTTAAGATAAAGCCAATAAAACCAGCAATAATAGGCCCCAATAAGACACTGGACCCAAATCCTACTCCCCCACCCACAAAGAGGCCGGTGCCCAACAACTGGCTGTAATCTCACTTTCATCTAAAATACCGGCCCCAGATACTTTAGCTATTGCCAAGCCTTCAGTGCCAGAACAGCATCTCCTCCTAGAACTTCTGACTAAACTTACGTGGTTCTAAACTCCTCACGGCAGACCCGAACTAACTATTATTGGCTCTATTATGACACAGCTCCTCTTTTTATGAGGGAATTGTTGTCCGGGGCCTTATTCAAGAAGCAGCCTAGTCTGATGAATGTGGCTGGCAGTCATCACACTCTCTAACCCTGGAACAAGTAACAGGACGGGGGCTTTGCATAGGTAAAGTTCCCGCTGCCAAGGCTTTTCTTTGCAAGTCAACTTATCGCCTCACAACCACTGCAGAGTAGCTAATGCCCCACAGTGATACCTGGTGGGCATGCTCCTCGGGGTTAACTCCGTGTGCACATACTACAGTTCTAAAGGACTCCAACGGATACTGTGTCCTCATCAGACTGGTACCCGGCTCCTTTACCATGACTACCAAGGTTTCCTAGATAGAATGGGGCAGGACGCTGGTCTAACTAGAATAAAAAGGGAGCCCGTGAGCACCCTCACACTCAGCATCCTCCTAGGGGTGAGCCTCGCAGGGTTGGGGACAGGAACAGCCTCTCTTCTGACCCACAGTGAATATTACTCTGCTTTGAGAGAAGCTATAGATGCTGACATAGAACACCTAAGAGACCTCAGCCTCCCACTCACAGCACTCCCTCTCCTCACTGGCTGAAATGGTTTTACAAAACAGAAGGGGCCTGGACCTAATCCTTTTACAACAGGGAGCAGTGTGTGCAGCCCTGGGGGAAGAATACTGTTTCTATATAGACCATTCAGGACTTGATACCAGCTCAGTTTGTTATGTGGGGGTTAGTCTGGAATACATGAAACTCTACCTGAAAAAATAAACAAAATTCATCTTTTTCTCAAGGAAATACATTGTCTACTTGTTTACAGAAGTCTGAGGTAGCATTTCTGGTTCTGGTTTGCCCATTTTCACATCCCTAGACTTCCAAGAACACACTTTCCCTTCAAACTGTGTTGACAGTCTTAGGAGTATCAGAATGCTTCTAAAATATCCCACGACAGCCTGGAAGCCTGTTAATGGTGGCGCAGGAGGGCGTTTCTCTCTCACGATCCTGGGTGGTCAAGAAGGCAGGACTGTTTCTGCAACACTACAGGATAGGGGCTGGCATTGCATTGCACACAGGGACATTTCAAAATCCACAATGGGAACTTGGCTGGCTCCCTATGGGTGACTTCTTATGGGTGTGTCTCCCGGAAGACCTCTGGTCAGACAGATATTCTCTAACTGCTGCAGGGATGAGCTGGATCTGAACTCCAGAGCTACCCCTGGATCCACTCCTGCCTTAGTCTCTCACGTACTGGGATTACAGGTGAGATCCATCATACCTGGCTTCCCTCTCCATTTTATTTGTGTGTGTATGCTGGGTGGGGACAAGCTTATGAAGATCAGTGAACAGCTGTGCAGCATGGACTCTTGGGACTGAACTCAGGCCATCATGTTTGCACAGCTGCACAGCTGGTGTTTTACCTGCTGAGCCCTCTCACCAGCCCCCTCAACCTTTGATTAATTATTATTATTATTATTATTATTATTCGTCTTCTTCTTTCCCCTCCTCTTTCTCTTCCTCCTCTTTCTTTTCTTTTTTCTTTTTCTTTTTAGTGTTTGGATACAGGGCTTCTTTGTGTAGCCATGGCTATCTTGGAACTTCCTCTGCAAACCAGGCTAAATTTGAACTCAACAGAGATCTGAGCCCAATTTAGTGTTTAAATTTTTGGATACTGTAATGTTTAGCTCTGCAGTTTCCATTACAAGATACTAACCTCCCATTCATTGCAACCTGCCTAACACCAGCAGAAATCAAGGAGTTTTTTCTTTAAAGACTTACTTTTCATGCAGTGCCTTCAGAGGCCAGAAGACAACATAAGATACTGGAACTGGACTTACAGGCAGTTGTGAGCCACCATGTGGGTGCTGGGAACCCAACCTATGTCCACTGCAAGAGCAGTCAGAGCTCTTAACCAGTAAGTCATCTCTCCAGTCTCAAGAATTTTCTTTGGGATGTTGGCATTGAACCCAGGACATTTTAAGTGTTAGACATGTGCTCTACCACTGAGCCACGCTCCTGATCCCTCACTGGGGGATTCTAGGCAGGGGCTCTACCACTGAGCCCTGTCCCCTCCTCAAGAATGCATTCCTAAACTTGTAAGTTTTGTCTATAAATAAAAACAAATCCAGTGGACCGGTCATGGTGGATCACGCTTCTGATCCCAGCATTCAGAGGCAGAGGCAAGTGAGTCTGTGACTTGAAGTCAGCCTCAGATACATAGCAAGTTCCAGGACAGAAGACGGTACAGTAACACCAGATCCCACAAACAAAACATCCCCAGTGAGATCAGTGGTACATAGATCCCTCTCCAGAAATCACTCCTGCAGTAAGACAAGCTCTCATACCTCTGGCAAGATGCAAACAGCTCAAAGAGGAATGAGCTTTAAAAAAAAACATTGGCAAACAAATAAACAATAACATTAAAATGTGTTGAGCAAAGAGCCTCAGGAAGCACTCTGAGAGGGAGGCCCCTGGGTGAGCCACTGAAAACACTGAGCTGCTCCCCACATGAATATGCTCACAAATATGGACAAGATCCAGAAGAATACAGGAAACAAAGCTGCTGTCCTTTGAGTCCTTTGCCCCAGGAATCTGAGGCGGGAAAATAATGTGTGCAGGCCATGGATTTGAACATAACACCTTGCCCTGGGCCCTACAGGCTGGAAGCAGGCACCCTTGTCCTAGGTTAATAAACTAGTTACCCTACAGCCATCACCTCCTTAACTAGGGTGTAGCCAATAATGTCACCAACCCCCTTTGTTTTCTGAGACAGTCTTTACTCTGACCTGTAGTTGTACACCCTCCTGACTGACCGCTCCAGTGCTGGCTTTCAAGTGTGGACCCCCACAGCTGGCCTTTCTTTTCCCTTCTTTATTTTTATTTAGTTATTTTTGTAGGGTCTTTTTTTAAGATTTATTTGTTTATTATATATACAGTGTTCTGTCTGCAGATATTTCTGCACGTCAGAAGAGGGCATCAGATGTCATTATAGACGATTGTGAGCCACCATGTGGTTGCTGGGAATTGAGCTCAGGACCTCAAGAAGAGCAGCCAGTGCTCTTAACCTCTGGGCCATCTCTCCAGGCCTGATAGGGTCTTGTGTAGCCCAGGTTAGTCTCAAACTCTGCTTCTTACCTGAGGGCAACTTTCAGCTTCTGATCCTCCTGCCTCTCCTAGACAAGTTGCAATAGGGGTTGGGAAATAAAAAATGAAGACTCCTGCAATCTGCTTGCCGTGGCTTGAATGTGTACGTGTACTAATTAGTTTGTCAGTTTGACACAAACTAAGGTCATGTGGGGAAAGGAAACATCAATTAAGAAAACACCGCCACCAGATCAGCCTGTAGGCAAGTCTGTGGGACATTTTCTTCATTAAAGATTGACGTCAGAGGCCCAGCTCACTTTGGTGGTGCCCCCTCCCCGGGCAGATGGCCCTGGGCTGTATAAGAAAGTAGGCTGGGCTAGGCAGTAGTGCTGCATGCCTTTAATCCCAGCATTCGGGAGGCAGAGGAAGTCAGGCCTCTGAGTTTGAAGCCAATCTGTGAGTTCCAGGACAGCCAGAGCTACAGAGAAACTCTGTTTCAAGGGGAAAAAAAAAAAAGAAAGAAAGAGCAAAAAGGAAAAAAGTAGACGGATTGAGCCATGGGGAGTAGGCCAGTAAGCATTGTTTCCTCGTGCCCTCTGCTTCAATTCCTGCCTCTAGGTTCCATTCTGACTTCCCTCAGGGATGGACCGTGACATGGAAGAGTAAAATAAGCCCTTCCTCCCCAAGGTGCTTTGTAGAGATGATGTTGATCACAGCCATTAGAAGCAAATTCGGTCAGCACTGAGATTTAAGAGGCAAGACGTGGAGCAGTGACCGTCAGGAGGGCACTGCCTCACAATGGAGCTCAGGTTGTCACTGTGGGATCCTGCATTCTCCCTGTGTCTTCAAGGTTTTAGATTTACTTACGTGAATGAATGCTTGCATGTATATGCATCGTGTGTGTGTGTGTGTGTGTGTGTGTGTGTGTGTGTGTTGCCCTTAGAGATCAAAGAGGGCATTGGATTCCCTGGAACTGTTGTTAACAACTGTCATGAGCCACGATGTGGGTGACATCAACTCCAGCCGCCCCTAGATCATTCCTGCACACTTCCTGTTATCGGATGACACAGTCAGACCCAGCTTGACCCTTGACCTTTACAGCCTATGAAGCTGTAAGAAATCACAGTCCTTTATACATGATACAACTTGGAGGATCTATGGGAGCGGTGCAAATCAGAAGCTCAGAAGTGGACAGAAGCTCAGCGAGAGGGCGCAGGGGGGACGGTCTGACCAAGGCGAGGAAGAAAGGAGGAGAAGTAGCTAATGAACCATTCACGTTTACTAAGAGCCTTTTTGTCAATAGTAAATACTTTGGAAAAACATCTGCAGTGTTGGTTACCGTAAAAACCCTTCCCCAATGAACTCAAGGCCCAAAATTCCAACAGAATGTGTTTCAGTTCAGGTTATTAGTCTGATAAATACAGGATTTAAAAAAAAAAAAAAAACCCTTGTTGTAGTCTACAAAGTACAAATCCTAAAAATCCTAAGTACAGAGCTGCTATGTTGTCCAAAGCACCATGGCTAGATGGGGTGGGCCACACACTAGAGATGTGTGGAAGCCCCATGCCTTCTGGAAGATGATTTGAGGCTCCTCATAGGATTACTGAGGACTATGAAGCAGTATGAATGCAGGGTTGGGGACTGGCTAGCGTTTTCAAACATGGGTCTTATTTATAGTGCCCTTCTCCACTTTCTTCAGGAATCATGGGACCCTGAGTCACACACAGCTCTGCATAGCAGAATACAGAGGAGCATTTCCTATGAGGAAGTGACGCTCAGTCAACACCTGCCAATGTCCGGCTTTGGTTAAAGCCCTTCCCACAGCCTGTCTTCAGAGACCTGGATGCATGCCGAGGTTTGCCCGGCTGAGTCATAACCCAAGGGTGGCAACTCCTGTATGTGGTGACTGTACATTGGTAGAGCAACCTTCCTCTCATCTGTGATTCCCGACTTTGTAAAGAATCAATCTCTCAAACACAAGCGTCTCCCCTGTGAAGTCTCCGAAGGCTCTGGGTTCTGAGGAACCTCTGGCAATCAGCAGCATGGATTTCCAGAGAGATGAGATGCCTTACAAGGCTCCTACAGATTCCCTGCCGTATGGACCCGCTGGTGGTAGACCAGATGTGACCTCTGACTGAAACCCTTACAGCAGATGCTGCAGATGTAGGGCCTCTCCCCGGTGTGGACCCTCTGGTGCGTGTGGAAGTGCGAGGCCTGACTGAAGCCTTTCCCACACTGCTGGCATGTGTAGGGTTTCTCACCCGTGTGGACCCTCTGGTGAGCACTAAGTCCTGCGCTCCAGCTGAATTCCTTCCCGCACGCCTCACACTTGAACGGCTTCTCCCCAGTGTGAATGATCTGATGGACCTGGAGATTGGACCTCTGGCTGAAGGCTTTCCCACACGTGTCGCATTTGTAGGGCTTTTCGCCCGTGTGCACTCTCTGGTGAGCCTGGAGGTGTGAGGCCTGACTGAACCGTTTCGGGCATGCGTTGCACTGGAACGGCTTCTCCCCGGTGTGGACACTCTGATGGGCCTGCAGATTTGAGGCCTGACTGAAGCCTTTCCCACATGCCTCACATTTATAGGGCTTCTCTCCCGTGTGGACTCTCTGGTGATTGTGGAGGTTCAAGCTCCAGTTGAAGCGCTTCCCACACACATCACACTTGTATGGTTTTTCCCCGGTGTGAACTCTCTGGTGGGCTTGAAAGTACGAGCTCTGACTGAAGCCCTTCCCACACACGCTGCAGCGAAACGGCTTCTCTCCCGTGTGGACCCGCTGGTGGCTCTGGAAGCTGGAAGCCGAACTGAAACCTTTCCCGCACTCCTCGCACTTATAGGGCTTCTCCCCTGTGTGGACTCGCTGGTGACTGTGCAGGTTGAAGCTCAAGCTGAAGCGCTTCCCACACGCGTCACACTTGTAGGGTTTTTCCTCCGTGTGGACCCTCTGGTGGGTGTGGAGGTTCGAGCTACAGCTGAAGCCTTTGCCGCAGTCTCCACATTTGTAGGGCTTCTCTCCTGTGTGGATTCTCTCATGGGCCTGGAGGTGTGACCTCTGCGTGAAGCCCTTCCCACACACCTCGCATTTGTAAGGTTTCTCTCCCGTGTGGACTCGGCAGTGGATGTTGAGGTCTGTGCTCCGGCTGAAGCCTTTCCCACAGCTGTCGCACCGGTAGGGCTTCTCGCCCGTGTGGATGGGCAGATGTGCATACAGATGCGAGCTCTGGTTAAAACTCTTCCCACACTCGGGGCAGGTAAAAGGCTTCTCCCCCGTGTGAACTCTCTGGTGCGTCTGCAGATTTGAGCTCTGACTGAAGCCCTTGCCACACTCGTGACACCAGTAGCGCTTTTTCCCTGGATGAACATTTTGTTGAGTGGGGACACTGGAGCTATGCCTGCTGCCCTCGTGTGTCCTGTGTACCGGGGACTTCTTTCTTAAGAGGACCTGCTGATGGAGTCCCAGACTTGGGCGGCCACTGAAGGCTTCTCGCTTGCTGCACTGCTGGGCCTTTTGCTCTGTGGAAACAAGATGCGGGGTGCAGGACGACACTGCAAAACTGATTTTACTGCAGTCGCCGCTGCTGTGGGCTTTGCCTCCTTTGTGCAGCATTTTGTTATTGCAGGGGGACATGCAACCCAGAATGTCACCACCCAGAGGCGGCAGCCATGGCTTGGTTTTCACAAGAGGCTGTTGACAGTGTCTCCGATGGTTCTGTCTATCGCTAAGATTTGTTTCACTCCAAGAACTCTGAGTTCTCCGAGTTCTCCCAGACGGACATTGTTGGTTTTCGGTAACGCTAGAACGTTCTCCTGTGAGACTCTCAAGGCAGCTGTCATCTATGCAGGCCCAGGGCAGCTCTTCTGCTTCCCTGTAGCAGGTGTTTACCATGGCACCTGGCGCTCCAGCCAGTTTGTTGACATCATGGCTCATCGTTTGCCACCATGGAAGCCGCCCCAGCAAGAGGCACCTTAATCCTGCTGTAAGAAGAGTCTCCATCTTGTTTGGACCCTGGCCTCCTGAAAGAACAGAGAACAGAAGGTGACATCGAAGGGCCAAGTCCTCGTTTTTTTCTGGAAACATTAGAGACCAGCTTTGAGGGCAAACTTGCGGGAGCTCTGGGAATAAGGGTCTACAATAAAGAGGGCATGCACTCAAGAGTGTGACATGGTGGGAAATTTGGGGCGAACCCAAGAGCACCTTTATCCTCTGCCTCCTACCTGCCTCATACAGCCTGTGCACAGCTGTGCAGACTGATGGGGGGGGGGGGGCAGGGGGAGTACTTTTCAGGATCTGTTTTTATTTGTGGGATGGTATGGGTTGAAGTAAGCATGGGTCCAACTCCCCCCTGAGAATGGAGGGAGCAGAGAGGACAAGGCCTGCCTGGTCCAAACCTGTCTGTGGTTCACCTGACTCAGAGCCAGGATGAGAGTGTAATGGGGAGGCACAAGGAACTTTGAGGCTGAAGGAAAGAGGGAAGATATAAAGAGAGTGAATGGAACAGCAAAGACTCAGAAACCGAGGTCCAGCTTGAGGACATCACCACAAAAGCATGCATGTGTAGAAGGAGATTGGAATGACTTCATCGCACATACTCGCTTGGAAACTACTAGAAGACAGCTAAAGCATTCAGAGGGCCAGGCTCCAAAACACACCGGCTGAGTAGGGAAGGCCTTCTCTGGGGAAAAGGCAGAATGCAGGGACAGGAACTAATAGAATCGGTTTTCTTCAAACACCTGCTCTCCAGGATCGAGGAGGATGGGGTAAGGGGCTCAGACATCTGAGTAGATCTGATGTCAACCCAAACCAGCAGGTGTCCTGATGCAATAACAAAGGTTACAACACTGTCCGACGGGTCTCCCCAAGGACACCAGACAATGACACATGAACAAGCTATCAGGATGGCGAGCTTAACAAATCCTGAAGCGGAAGCTTCGGTGATTCTGGGAGGCAATGCGGTGGCTTGCGGGAAGTGCGGGAAACAAAGTCAGGGGGAGAAAGAGTGAGAGGATCAGGGCAGGGGCCAGGAGAGGGATGTTCCTGTGAGGAACACTGAAAACCTTCTCGAGGCAGAGGACACTGAAGCTACACACCCAAAGCTCCTCCACGCAGCCGCTGCTCAGGGTACACTCGGGATTTGGGTGCAAGTCCACGGTGACGAGTCTGGTGGTGCTCAGACACCAGCAGAGGTGAGCGCAGAATGTGGGGAGTAAGCAGGACACAGTCGAAGCAGCTTGGAGCAGGACCTGCAGGGACTTCTGAGCAGATCAATGCAGAGTCTGAGAGAGGGGGCGTGGCACTTCATCAAGGAAGAACATTCCAGCCAGAGAGAAGCAAGTAATGATGACAGAGACAGAAGCAGGGGGAAAAATGGAGATTGGCAGAGCTGTAAGTGTGAGCCCTAGGAAGGTGGGGGTCCCAGGAAGGCACAGTGAACCCTAGTGCTTGGGAAGCTGAGGCAGGAGGATCACAAGTTTCTGGACAAGCCTGAGCTACATAGAAAGATCTTGAAAAAAAAAAAACTCAAAACAACTACTTGATCTTACTGAGTAAAATGTGAAGTCAAGAGTCTGAGGCAGGGAATAGCACAATGAAACTCTCTGGTTGGGGTTGTGGGGGAAGCACCCCACACAAGAGCAGCAGTCCTGGGGCTCTGGTAGCTGCACTCATCTCTCTGGGTCAAAGATACAAGAAAGGGGTTGTGGAATCTCCCTTCACAGCTAAGGAAAGCTGCTGAGGCCAGGCATGTGTCAGGGGCGTTCTGCATGGAGGCCCAAAGGGGCCTTTGACTGGAGCTGTGAAGGTGAAGCCTGAACTTGCTGGAGACCCCAGAGTTGTGGGAGAGTGGACCCAGCCCAAGAGAGAGGTGTGCTGCAGTCGACAGAGCTGCAGATCAGAAGGGCGCTTTGACACCAGACATGGAGATGCATTGGCGTTTGCCCAGCTGGTTTTCAGTTTTGCTCTGTTCCAGTATGTCCTATGCTCCCTCCCCTTCATTTTGGAATGGTAATGACTATCCCGTGCCCTTGAGTGTTGGGAGTCTGTGAGCTGCTTTTTCATTTAGATAAGGGTTTGCCATGAGTCTAGAAGACGCTTTGAACTATGGGTTTCCAAACAGAATTGAGATTATGATAGACTATGGGTCATCATCATAGGGACTTTTGAAGTTGAACTAAATGCAGTTTTGCATTCTGATATGGCTTCAAAGCTAAGGGGAGCAAGGAGTGGAAAGTGGTGGTTTAAATGAAAATGGCTCAAATAGGCCTATTGGGAATGGCACTATTAGGAGCTGTGTCCTTTGTTGGAGGAATTGGGGGTGAGATGTGGAGTTTCAAATGATCAAGCCAAGCCCAGTGTCTCTCTGTTTTAATAAGGCTGCTTGTTTGTTTCCCAACTGCTCAGCCCCAAAATTAATCACACAGAAACCATATTATTTGCAATACGGTTTGGCCAATAGCCTAAGCGTATTTTTGGCTAACACATATCCTAAACTAATCCATCTCTATTTATCTGTGTATCGCCACCTGGCTCCGCTATAGGCCCAAAGCAGTTGTTTTATTAACCACTGATATTCACAGCATACAGAGGGGAATCCCACATCATCTCTCTCTTCCTGCTGCCATCAAATCTGGATGTAGAACCATCAGTTCTACATGATGATAATGGACAAAACCTCTGAGACTGTCAGTTAGCACCAATTAAATGCTTCTTTTATAGAAGTTATCGTGGCCACGGTGTCTCTTCACAGTCACAGAACACTGACTAAGACATGCACACTCACCTGCAAGCACACTCACACGTACATAAAGAATGTTTTAGAAAACATTTAAAGAACAGCATCTGTGTGTAAAATGCAGCTTTAAGAAATCAAGAGGAGGGCCTGGAGAGACGAATCAGAGCACTGGCCTGCAGGAGGCCACGCCTCCGCTCACCGCCAGCACAAAGAACCTGTCTGAAAACATGTGGCTACCAAGTAACTGTGCTTGGCTCCCGATTTTGTGAGTCTAGAAGTTTTCTTCTTTCTTTGTTAGCTTTTTTATGTCTTATGTGGATCCATGCCCCACGTTGAACACCATTATGTAAATGGAGACTGCTTGTTCATTTCCCAGTCTCCCAGACCCGAATAATCACACAGAAACTATATTAATTACAACACTGCTTAGCCAATGGCTCAGCAGTATTTCTAGATAGCTCTTATATCTTAAATTAACCCACTTCTATTATTTCATGTATTGCCATGAGGCTCATGATTGTTACCTCTTGCTTCTTGGGCAGCTGCATGGATCTCCCTGCCTCTGCCTACTCTCTCTCTCTCTCTCTCTCTCTCTCTCTCTCTCTCTCTCTCTCTTCCCGCCTGACTTTACTCTGCTAAGCCATTGGCCAAAGCAGCTTTATTCATCAACCAATAAAGGCAACACATATACAGAGGACTTCCCACATCACTGGCTGCTCTTCCAGAGGACTCAGGTTGGGCTTGCAGCACCCGTATGATAGCTCCAAACCATCTGTTTGTTACCCTAGTCCCAGGAGATGTGATATCCTCTTCTGACCTCTGCGGGCACCATGCAAACAAAACACCCAGAAATTCACAAAATAAAAAATAAATAAACCTAAGAGAAAAGCAGTGAGAGCAACTGAAGAAGACACCGATGTGAACTTGGGACACTGCCAAGGGACACAGGTCGCCATCCTCACCCACTGACAGAAGGTTCCTGAAGTTCTCCAGCATCACATCACGGTACAGCTTCCTCTGGGCAGCGTCCAGCAGCCCCAGCTCCTCCTCGCTGAAGACCACGGCCACATCCCTGAACGTCACTGCCTCCTGTGACAGCAAACACGTACCACCTCAGTTTCATACCCAGTTCCACTAGAACCTGAGCTATGCACAGGGGCCTGATCACTCCTTTCCATGGCTACCGAGAGGCTGGGGGCAAAAGAGAAAAACACTAGCACAGGGAACATCGGTGCCTTTGTGTAGCGGGGTCACTGTTAAAGTGGATGCCACAGACTTCCGAGTTAGAGAGCACAAACCCACGTCAGGAATAATGTGCCGAGTCTGTGCTGGAAACAGCTGGCAATGCCCGGCTCCTCCTGGGCAGTAAGGCTCGGGTGTACTTTCATCCCCTAAATTCAAAATGTCCTGAAACCCATTTCATGAGTGATGACATCATTTTAAAGTGTTTCACGCTGGCAGAACATTATAGAGTTCTGATTCAGAATTCTTTATTTGTAAAGTCTATGCAAGTGTTTCCAAATCCAAAATTCTACATATGAAATGTTTCTGTGTCCTGGAGTATACGACAGATGGCACTAAAGTCTGAATCATTCGTGATGTCCTTAGTCCTGTCAATCTAACAGGCTTCTGGAACAGACAGAAGCTCTGTTCTGTGTTCTCAGGAATATGCCTCTGCCAACAGCAGCTGCGTTCAGGATCACAGATGCAAGCACGAGCTCTGCAAACCGTAAGGGCCTCAGTTCATGCTCCAAGGCTCCGTGAATCCCTGGCCTGATGAGCCTGGGAAACTGACTTCTCAGTGCCTCAGTTTCCCCATCTGCGGAGACCACAAAAGGGGCCTAGGACCACATATGAAACTCACAAAGCAGCCATATATGTCCAGCAACACTACCATCATTCTCTGTATTATGCCATTCATGGCCACACAGTGTTCCATAAAGGCTGCATTACATACATATAAATTTTAAAGGACACCACCCATACAAATACAATAACTGTAAATTTTTAATTAAGTGAAAGTTTCAGAAAACTGCTATTTTTAATCATTTACCAAAGTACCCAAGTTTTGTTTGTTTTTTTTTAACTGTCCTGGTTATGCCAGAACACAAAGAATGAGGGATACTTATTGTCTGCAAATTAACTGGAAAAGCTGCACTGCTTTTAGCAAAATAAATGCATTTACTCCTTGGAACTGACTGTAGGTAGCTGGAGAAGTTGGCTGAACACCATGTAAAATACACTCCTTTGCATTATAATTCCTGTTTAAATGAACTGAAACATGCCGCAGCCTACTAGTGCTCAATGGGAGGTCATAAATGTACTGAGTTTCCAAGTTGCTGGTGTCGCCATCAGAACACACGACTCACGTGATCCCAGCTTGTCTGTACATGTGTCTGTGTGTCTCTCCTTTCCTCTTTCCTCCACCTCCCCATCTGGGTCCACCTTCGAAGCTGTGTAGATGGCAGCAGCCAGATGCTCTCTGACTGTGCAGGATATGAATGCTCAGAATGCCAAATGAGGCAAATGAGCGTGACCAGTCTTCTGTGTGCACATGTGTACACAAGTATGCATACATGTATGTCTGATTATGTGCATGAGTGTGCCCACACACGTAGAACCCAGGAGACAACCTCCAGTGTCCTTCCTCAAGGGCCAGCCACCTTTTCCTGTTTTTGTTCAGGGTCTTTCAGTGGCCTGGAACTTGCCAACTAGAAGACCCTACTTCACCAAGGTACTACTTCTTTAAGAAGGCCCGACTCTCAATAGCTGTCCTCTGACATCTACATGAATGCCTTGGCATGCTCACATCCACCACCACCCACCTCGGTATTCATACACACACACACAATTAGTAGTACAAAATTTAAAATGAACAAGTTTCATAAACCACACCAATATGGAGAACTCATACTTATTTGCAAAATAAAATTGCCAAACCATAGAAAATGATGTGACTTTTAGAATGTAAGTGAACTTAATTCTTTTTTTAATGTATGTGTATGTTATACGGCTATGTGTGTGTGTGTACATGTGTGTGCAGATGCCCTAAGATGCCAGAAGAGGACATTGGATCCCCTGGAGTTGGAGTTACCGGCACTTGTGAGTTATCAGAAGTGTGTGCACTGGGAGCCAAACACCCCCTGGAAGAACAGCTTAACTGCTGAGCCATCTCTCCAGCACTCCAGCACACTTTTTCTATTTTAAAATTTAATCTTTTACAAATTTCATGTGCACAACACACTTTGAGCACATGCCCCCCATTATCCTTTTTTACCACCCTCCACACAACTTTCTTCTTAGCAACACCCCCTCACACTTTCCCGCAGTTCAGTGTGGCTTGGCTAGCGCTTGCCCAGCATACAGGGGTCCTGTTTTCAATCCCTAGCCCTGATGGGAGTGCAGGAAGCCCATTCAGTTTACCTTTAACTTGGTCATTGTTCTCTTCTCCCTGGGACAAGGCAGGGCTCTGGGACGCAGGCTGGAAGAGGAAGGGTTTTGAAAGAGCATTGTTAGCACAGTCAGTCCAGCGACTTCCTCAGCTTCTCCATCGGCCCCAAGCGCTATCATTCCACGTCTGTGCGCTTCAGCCTGGCTTTCCTACCTATTTCGCACTAACCTGCAGAGTAAGCTCCAGGATACCAAGCCACCCGTGCTCCACCTCACTCCCTGCAAATGGTTAGCAAAGTCCGCATTCCTATTCCCTGCAGCTTCAGGGCTGCAGCAGACACTCTTAACTTCACAAAGCTGCTCGCAACTCTGATGAAAGACGTGTCGTGAATGAGTGACCATCAAACTCACAAGGGTCTGTTCACTGTGATCAGCTATCTTAATATAATTGTTTCTATCCGGAGGAGTTAAACTGTCCTCTCCCCCGTCTCTCGTTCTAAAAGATTTAATTACTAGTAAACGTTGCTCATCTCCAAAAGCCTCCACAAAGTCTCTTCTCCCACGTGCATGAAGATAATGACCAATAAAAACCTAAAACCCTCTCTAAAGAAAAGGGAGTTTGGATCGGTGAGATGGCACAGTGGGCAGAGGTGACTGCCGCTGAGCCTGACCGCCTGAGTTCAATTCTCTGGACCCCACACGGAGGAAAGAGAGACTGGATTCTCACAAGTTGTCTTCTGCCCTCCTCCATACACACAAGCTGTGGCACGGCCCCCTCTCTAAGTAAATAAATAAATAACCGCAGAAATATTGCATTTTAAAAACAGAATTGCATACCACTTAAGGCTTCAGGACGCTGGCCATCTGTCATCACAGCTCCTCTTGCCAGGCTCCCGGGGGGAAGCTAGACTCTCCCGTGGGCTCCCAGCAGCTGAGATGGGTCCAGAGATCCAGGGCAGCGCCGCCTCAGGTAGAGTCCAGAGTGAGAGGACCCAGCCGCGGCCGCCCCGTTCCCTCCCAGGTCGCAGGCTCGGTCCCTGCGGGGAAGACTCCGGTAGCAAGAGCACACACGATGGGCCACGGGACGCTCCGGGATCTCCCTCCTTAGAACCACTGCCAGGTAGCCTCGCCTTGCATAAGCGGAAGCGACCCCCGACTGCCGCTGGTACCAGAACCACAATTCCCAGAATGCCTCAGTGGAAGTGCCTAGCTCTGAAGCCTCTCTAGCACTGCATTCCCCAGAACGCTAAAGCGCCCACAAGCTTCTAGCTATTCTAACCAGAGTGCACTCAGCAGAAATCGGTTTTCAGGAGAGTGTTCTCAGGACTGCTTTTGGTTTTGTACATTTCTGAAATGTCATTAAAGACAACTGTGGATACTTTTAAAAACTGATGTACTATATTATATTGCATTACAAGGTTTTTTGGTTTAGAGATTTTTGTTTGTTTGTTTTTCGAAACACGGTTTCTCTGTAGCTTTGGAGCCAGCCCTGGAACTCACTCTGTAGACCAGGCTGCATCAAACTTATGGACAGCCTCCCGCTTCGTGCTGTGCACCACCACCATCTAGCTGCATTACAAAAGTTTAAAGCTTAAACTGCACAGATGTGGGAACTTGGCTCAGCAGCAGAGTCAGAGCCCCTGCTTAGAAATCCTCAGTGGAGAATGGGGCAGTCTCAACGGTAGAGCCCCTGCCTGGAATCCCCCAGTGAGGGGCTGGAGTGTGGCTCAGTGGTAGAGCCCCTGCCTAGAATCCCCCAGTGAGGGGCTGGAGTGTGGCTCAGTGGTAGAGCCCCTGCCTGGAATCCCCCAGTGAGGAGCTGGGGTGTGGCTCAGTGGTAGAGCTCCAGAACACAGGCTGTTTTGAGTCACCTTCTTTGTTTTTTGTTTGTTTTTGAGATAGGGTTTCTCTGTGTAGCCCTGGCTGTCTGTCCTGAAACTAGCTGTGTAGACCAGGCTGCTCTAAACTCAAGAGATTCTCCCGCCTCTATCTTTCAAGTGCTGGGATTAAAGGCCACCACCGCCTGGCTTGAGTCACTGTTCCATTGCTGTAAAGAGACTCTATGACAAGGGAACTGTTAAAATAGAGAGCATTTATTTGGGGGCCTGTTTACAGTTTCAGAGGCTTAGTTCATGGAGAGCATGGCGGCATACTGGCAGCTGCCGGGGCAGCAAATGGATGCTACATCCGAATCCATAGCCACGGAGGTAGAGAAGAAGACTGGGCCTGATGTGTGCTTTTGAAACCTCACAGCCCACACCCCCAGTAACACACCCCCTTCAACAAGGCCACACCTCCCAATCCTTCTAATTCTTTCAGAGTTCCACTTCCTGATGGAGCAGGCTTTCTTTTGGGCCACCAACCAGCTCCCAAATCATGACACAGAGACTTATTAATTATGAATGTTTGGTCTTACCTTATGCTTATCACACTAGCTCTTATAACTTAATATGTTTCTCTTCATCTATGCTATGCCTTGGGGATTTTACCTTTCCATCATTCTGTATGTCCTACTCCATGTCTGGCTGGCTGGCGGCTGCCTAGCTGGCCCCATGCAACTCCCTCTCTTTCTTGCTTGTTCCCTCCTCTCTGGCCTCGAGCCTAGATTCCTCCTCCTACTTATTCTCCCTGCCCACCAACCCTGCCTATCCCTCTACTGCCTAGCTATAGGCCATTCAGCTTTTTATTAGACCAATCAGGTGCCTTAGGCAAGCAAAGCAACATATGTCCACATAGTTAACAAATGCAGCATAAACAAATGTAACACATCTTCTTTACACAGTTAAAGTAATATTCCACAACACCTTGGTGACGAAGTACTTGAATATGGGCCTCTAGGGGTCATTCTTACTCAAACCACAACATTCCACTCCCTGGCCCCCACAGGCTTATAGGCATATCTTAAAGCATAAATGCATTTTATTCAAATTCAAAATTCCCAATCGTCTATCACATTCTCAACATTGTTTACAACTCCAAAGTCTCCTCTGAGATGCGTGCAATCTCCTAACTGCAATCCTCTATAAAAATAAAAATTATACTTCCTACAAACAATAGCAGAGAATATGTATTACCATTCAAAATGGAGGAGAGGGAGCATGGTGAGAAATTACTGGACAAAAGCAAGATCAAAAACCAGCTGGACAAACTCCAAACTCTGCATCTCCTTTTCTGATGTCAAAAGGCTCTTTGGATCTCCAACTCCAACTAGCTTTGCTGACTGCAACACCCTTTTTCCTCTTGGGCTGTCTCCACTCCCTGTTAGCAGCTCTCCTTGGCAGGTATCCCACATCTCCGGCATCTCCAACATCTTGGTGTCTCCAACATATATCCAAGTTTCACCTTCACAGTTTCACACAGTGGCCTTTCTAGGCCTCCATAGAGGGAAAATTCTGAATCACTGATGGCCTCAGAGGCTTTCCTTAACTGCATAGGAACATTACACTACCCCTTTCTTTTCTTAAAACAATTTATTTATTTATATTATATACAGTGTCCTGTCTGCATGTATGCCTGCAGGCCAAAAGAGAGCACCAGATCTCATTACAGATGGTTGTGAGTCACCATGTGGTTGCTGGGAATTGAACTCAGGACCTTTGGAAGAGCAGCCCATGCTCTTAACTGCTGAGCCATCTCTTGTATCCTTGTATTCTTGTATCCTTGACTCTAAACCCATGTGGCCAAAACTGCCAAGTTCTGATGCTTTATGGGGCTGGAACTTGACCTCCTTGTTCAAATGCATCTGCATCATCTTTCTGTAGTTGTGAAAATGAATTTTAAAAAAGCTTAAGCAGTTAAATATTTAAGGTTTTTTTAATTTTTTTCCACAAGTTGGAAACTTAGCTGGGTGGGGTCTTGCCCTAAGGTCAACACTCCCTTTATTCTATCTAGCATCAACCTTTCTTTAAAATTTATTTCCTTGAGCACTGGACTCAGATCCATTGCACTTCCCAGTGCTTCTTTTTGCCTCAGATTATACATTTTGTGCTTTCTCTGTCCAGCTTGCTCCTTTCCATCACAGGACTCCTTGAAAGGGACTAATAACCACACGACAGAGTCAATAGTAGGGTATCTGAAAATCTCCTCTGCTTACACCATTCACCCAAAACTCTTCAAATTAGCTTCAGGCAGATTTTTAGGGCAAGGGCAAAAATCAGCCACTTTTTTTTTTGTCAAAATATTACAAGAATGGTCTCTAGACTACTCACTAATGCTCTTCTCCTCTGTAACTTCTTGACCTGGGTCCGCACAGCTCAAATCACCCTCGGCACCACTATCTCCCATGTTCCTACTAGAACAGTCTATTAAGCTCTGGTTAAAGCTCCACTTGATTTTCTAGTCCAAAGTCCCAAAGTCTTTCATATTTCTCCAATTTTGTAAAGTTTGAATGTCATTGACCCCCATAAGCCTATAGGGAGTGGCACTATTAGGAGGTGTGGCCTTGTTGGAGGAAGTGTGTCACTCTGGGAGCAAGATTTGAGGTCTCCTATGCATAATCTGCTCCCAGTGTAACAGTCTACTTCCTGTTGTCTGCATAGCAACCTGAAGCAGCTCCTTCTCCAGCACCATGTCTGCCTGCACGCCACCCTGCTCCCTGCCATGATGATAATGGCAAAACCTCTGAAACCATAAGCCACTACCTCAATTAAATGTCTTCCTTTATAAAAGTTACCATGGTCACGGTGTCTCTTCACAGCAATAGAAACACTAATTAAAACAGAAGTTGGTACCAGAAACTGGGGTATTATTGTGATAGGCTGGACTATGTTTTTCTGTGGAGGAATTTGGACTTTGGGAGTTTGGGTTAAGAAAGCAGTTGAAAGTTTTAAGTGTCGCTTAATGGATCATATTAGTAGGTGATGTAGAATTCCCTTCTATATGCTGTGAATATGTTTTATTCCATTGGTTAATAAAGAAGCTGCTTTGGCCTATGGCAGAGCAGAATAAGAGATAGGTGGGAAAACTAAACTGAATCCCCTAGTGAGGGGCTGGGATGTGGCTTAGTGGTAGAGCCCCTGCCTAGAATCCCCCAGTAAGGGGCTGGGGGTGTGGCTCAGTGGTAGAGCCTCTATTTAAAATTCCCCAGTGAGGGCTGAGGATGCTGTCCATTGGAAGTCTGACTCCTGGGTTTGTGCCACAAACACTCCCCCTCCAAACACACTCACATTAGCTGGGAGTGAGGGTAAGCTAAAAGTAGGAATACTGAGTTCTTGAGCGCACTGGATATTATGTTTAAGGGATTCAACTTTTATCCAGTGCTGTATCCCCAAATATTTATTGTAGTAATAGGAGTGGCGGGGCTGCATCCCCAGCACCCCGGCTGCCTGCTAGCTTATGCCCGAAATAACAACACACAAACTGTATTCATTTAAACACTGCTAGGCCCATTTCTATCTAGCCTCTTCTAGGCTAACTCTTGCACCTGGACTAGCCCATTTCTTATAATCTGTGTAGCCCACGAGGTGGCTTACCAGGGAGATTCTAGCCTACGTCCATCCTGGGTCGGAGCTTCATCGCTAGCGTCTGCCTCAGAGAGCAGAGCTATCACGTCTGTCCGGGAGAGGGGAGCATGGCATCTCTGCTCCAGAGAGCAGAGCTGTTGAGTCTGAGCTCACTTCCTCTTCCTCCCAGCATTCTGTTCTGTTTACTCCTCCCACCTATGTTTTAACCTATGAGGCCAAGCAGTTTCTTTATTACTTAACCAATGACCTTCCTCCATCATTTATCACCAATACAACCCGTGGCTACAACAAAAACATTGTTTCTCACAATATAGGAGAATAACACCTTGACAGTTCACACTGTGCCCAAGCAAAGTACTATAATGGAACAAACAGAAGATTCCATGACAGCTCTCCTGGAGTCTCAGAGTGGCAGGAACAGGAGACCCTGCCTGTGACCAGCACGATAGCTTGGCAGGTGAAGGCTCTTACCCAACCAAGCTTGATGACCTGAGCTCAATCCTGGAACTCACATGGTGGAAGGAGAGAACTTCATCCCGCAAGTGTTCCTCTGACCTCCACAGACGCTGTAGCGTGCATGAGCATGCACACACACAGACATACACACACACACACACACACACAGAGAGAGAGAGAGAGAGAGAGAGAGAGAGAGAGAGACAGAGACAGAGAGACAGAGAGA